AATTTTTTTACAGTTCAGTGAAAATATGGAATGAAAGAATTAGTTCAGTCTGTTACTGAACAATTGTTTTTGTTAATTGCTTAGGAAAGCTTTCAAATCGATTGTTTCTAAAAGTTAAACGTGATTTTGGTGGATTTTTTTAAACTATCTCTTGTTAGGTTAGAGTTTGTACTAACTTCCTGTTTTCAGTTCTAGAAACAAATGATTCCCAAACATATTGTTTGTTAAATACAAAGGCCTGAACAGCAGTTATATTTCAATTAAATTAAATTTTTATGGACAGATACGAGAATCTGATGCAGATCAACATGGAAACAGAAATGGAGGAAATTTCAGAGATACACACTAAATTATTGCGTGTAAGTGTCTAATATTGTAATAAAAAGTTATCTAAACATGGAGTATACCTGCATAAAAGTCCAAAGGTGTAGTTTTGAAAGATGCAAAGAAAAACCTCGACATATTTTTAGAAGATTTCCTCTTCTACTGAGAGTTTTTTATCATGTGAAAATTGTAGTGTGGTTATTTTCCAAAGATAAATATAGTAGAACCCTTAAAATTAGCACATTCTGGTAGAAAGTGCAATGTACCAATGAAGTAGTCATCCCAGTTATCAAACACGCAGAAAAATGTTAGTACCAAGCTTTAAAAAAATCTAAATGCATGGAGGGGCAGAGGAAGCAGAGGTGCAGCGACTCTTACTGTATTTAAAAGGCAGAGCCACAGTGGTAAGGACCCGGTGCAAGCTGGCACTGAAGCAGTCCTGGCTTGCGACGAGTGCTGCACTGCATCTCTGCCTTTTAAGTGTAATAAGAGACAGGCGGCTCTTACTACATTTAAAAGGCAGAGATGCAACAGGGTTTGTTCCGGGGAGATATCCCCACTGTGGCTCTGCAGTTTAAATGTAGTAGGAGCCTGGCTCCCCCGCCATCAACTAATTGAGTAGTTGATGGAAATTCCATTGACTACTCGATTAGCTGATTATTCACAATTTAACATCTGTAGTATATGTCATGGAAAGTTTTTTAAGTAGGTCTTATGGTTATAAAGTTATTTTGTATGGCATTGTGTGAAAGTCAGTCTGAGTTCACTCTGGAATGCACCTCAACAAAATAAAGGTCATTAATAAGAATTCAGTTAATAGGATTTTTTTGTATTCAAGCCAAAACAATAAGCAGCTTGGTATCTTACTGTGACTAAACACAACAAAATGCATTGGGAGATCTAGAGGAGACTTGGAAGATCTAGAGGCTTCATGGAGAAAGAGTTTATGTACTGAAGTAGAGAGGAAATTCCAGGATTGGGCAGCATTGGAGAAAAAAAATGAGAGGTGAAAGAGAGAGATGAAGAAAAGGTATTTTTTAACTTTGAGAGAGTAAGTGTTAATTAGCAGAAATATTAACTCCAAAAAAGATATTTTTCCTAATAATGCCGTGTTTTGTATGTTCTTAAAGTGAACATTTGACCTGCTAAATGCTTCATAAGTTGTCTGGGCATATTTCTGTGCTTGGAGACAGTCAAGTGAGGACTAGGTAGTGGTGGTATTATTATTTATTATAATTGTAATAAAGTGTTAATGCAATGAATCCCATACCAAGTACAAGATCACTTGTGATTTTTGGCAATGATGTTGGTGAAACTATTTTTCTTAAGCAGCTTTCTAGCTCTCGGGGAACAATAGAGACCAGTCTTCAGGACATGGAAGATAAACTGTCTCCTGGTGGGTTACTGAGTGATACCTGGGCAAATCAAGAAGGCACACATCCCAGAGACAGAAAGTAAGTGACAACTTCACATTCATTGATTGAACATATTCTGGTTTCTGGGCTGACCTACGTTCATTAACATTAACCTTTTGTTTCCACCTACCACCTTCTAGCCCAGAAAAACTACAAGTATTGCTGAGTTCTATCACAGATATTTATTATCAGTTCAAGAAAGACAAAGCAGAACGTAGTAAGTAAATCTTATATATAGTATACATTAAAATAATTAAAAATATAAAGGACAAGTCAGCCTTAAATCTGTTCAGCTAGTTTTAGTTGTAAGGGAGAGAGATGGCTAACAACAGTGAATATGTCTTCAGTGTTGTGTAGGACAACATTCAGGAAAAGAATCAGAGGGAATAAGTGAGCAACAACTTTGGTTTTAGAAATTTAAACCTCTGCATTGAAAAAGTAAATGCCCACACTTTCTACCTAACACATACTCAGACAGGAAAAAAAAATCTGTAGTATGGATAATGCCTAATTTAAAAAATTAAATCTGTAATCTCTCTGATTTTCTTTGATACTAGGACTTCCTTATAATGAGGAACAAATCCACAAGTTTGACAAGTAAGTGTTAAAATTACATTTAAAATCTTTGGCAATTATTTTTTCTGATGATTCATCAACAGACAGAAACTTTCTTTCTCTCCGTCAAGCACTATGAAGAGAGATTTTATACATATTTATTAATAATTATCTGCTTCCCAGTATACCTTGAAATGTGGATGTTAACTATTTGGTCTTTGTCTGAGGGCATAGTGTATCTGAGTGCATGTGTATGTAAAATACCTTGTATACTGTAGACACTTTAAATTCCTGACTCCTATCCAATTTTTTCTGTCCCTAAAGTGTTGTGCTTTTGGTATTACCAGTGCAGCTCCTCTGATGGTATTAATGGTAGAATACTAATGCGTATAGGCCATTAGTGTTCCAACCAAGGAATGAAGTATTGCTTTCTGTTCTGTGACTGCAATGATTTCAGTGTTGGTGGTCTGAGAACTCATCTCCTAAATCTTGGGTCATTCTTAATTAGGGATGTAAGGCTATGGCTACACAGCAACATTATTTCAAAATAACTAGCGTTATTTCCAAATAACATAGTCCGCATCTACACAGCGGCAGTTATTTCGACATAATGTTGAAATATTGTCAAGCTGGAGGACTTCTTACTCCAACTCCTGTAACCCTTATTTTATGAGGAGTAAGGGAAGACGGAGGAAGAGTGCTTTATTTCGAAATAAGTGCTGTGTAGACAGCACCAAAACTCGAAATAAAACTATTTCAAAGTAAGCTACGCAATTGACATAGCTCAATTTGCGTAACTTATTTCAAATTAAGCCCTAAGAGAGTACTTGAGTTAACTACTCGCATTTCCCTTCCCCCTCTTGCTGCCTCTATATCAGAGGCAGCAAGGGGGAGAAGCAGGAGCTGGTTCTGAAGGGGAGTCAGCTTAAAAGCCAGTTCCCTTCAGCACTGTCTCTGTCCCCCCTCCAAACCCCTGCCGATGCCTCTATCAGAGGCAGCAGCATGCAGTGGGCAGGGAAGACTGCTCTGGCAACAGCTCCTGTCTGTGGGGAGTCCCAGAGGGAAGTTGGGATCCCACACGGACTGGGGCTGCTACCGGCTGTGCAGGCAACCCTGCTCAGTCCCAGCTTGTGCCAGGTCAGGGACCAAACCCCACTGCAGCTCTGCAGTTTAAAATGCAGTAGGAGCCAGGGGGACAAGCTGCCTCGCTCCCACTGCCTTTTAAATTTCAGAGCTGCAAGTGGAGTTTGGTCCTGGTGCAAGCCAGAACTGAGTTAGCTGCCTTCCCCCATCGAGTAATCAAGTAGTCGATAAAAATTCTATCGACTACTCAATTACTAAAATAACCTAATTTTAGCATCCCTAGTCTTAATATAGAATTTTATCACTTGATAGGCAAGTGGGCAGTGTTCATTTCAGCTGCTTCCTGGGATTCATTATTGTTTGATGACAGTTGTGTGAATGAAAAAACAGGTACTTTGTCCATATATAAGCCATAAAGGTGATTACTAACTAACTGTCAGTCAAGATTTTATTCTAGAAAACCCTACATGGAATTACAGTCTTTCAGAATTTCACATCCCGTGATTCTACTTACAAGTTCACACACACAAAGATGTTTATAGGCTTGCGGTGTGCTAACACCACTGCCTATGCAGCTGACCAATATTGTCTGAATGTCCTTCTTCTTCTCCCATCTGTATCCACCTCTTGTCTTATGCTTAGGCTGCAAGCTTATTGGGGTTTGGGTCTGTGTTTTTCTTTTGTTAGTGCAGTGCAGTGTTTCTTAAACTGTGTTCCACGGTACACTGGTTTGCTGCGAGGCAGTCAGAGGTGTGCCGCGGAGAACAACAGAATTCAAAATGGCTGCTCTTAAAGGGGTAGACGACCTTTTTTTCCCCCCTTAATAATTTTCCCCAACCCTTTTTTTTTCTCAAAAACTTTCCCCACAACCTTTCCTCCCCCCCCCCAACAAAAATCCTTGGTGTTCCTCATAAAAAAATATTACTGTTTGGTGTTCCTCGGTCTTAAAAAGTTTAAGAAACACTGATGCAGAGCCTAGCATAGTGGAGTCCATGTTCCTGACTGATGCTTCTAGATACTGTGGTAATTCAAATAATTATTATAAGAATTGTTTTTCTCCTTTCTAGCCATCATTTCCTTTCCTTAAATATAACCAAGATTTTAAATTTCAAATGCAAAAAAGTAGTGTGAGTGCATAGTTCATAAAAATAGTTAAAACTAGCCAAATATTTGCCTCAAATGGGACCTTTGAAATTGTAACATCTTGAAAAATATTTTTTAAATATAATCTGGCAGTTCATCTAGTGTAAACACATTATGGTAACAAATGGAATAAGTTGGATAAAGGTTTTATAGACATTTTAAATCTTCATATATACCTCCTGGGACTCAGAGCTTTAAGCAAATCACTTGGGGAATGAAGTATTGCAAGTGATACCACAACATTCTGTTGATTCTTTCTGTATTGCAGGCAGAAGCTGAATTTACATGCCACAAAAGCCATATCTCTGTTCAAAGATGAATGTCTCGGCAAGTATGAGACATTTTTGTACAAGGCAGAGGACTGGATGAGGCAAGAGATTGATTCATTAGAGTTGAGCATTGTGACAGAACCATGATTTTGTCAACTGCCTATTTATTTACTTACTTACTTAATTCCAGAAAGATGCTACATTTAAGGAAACAGTTGCTGACGGTCACCAGCCAGTGTTTTGATATTGAAGAAGAGGTATCCAAATATCAGGACTATATAAATGAGGTATGCTGGTTCTAAATTATATGCAGTTTTTAGAATGAATGAGCAAAGGATTTTATTCCATTTTTCTTGTCATCATCAACAGAATAGTGTACCAAGTTCCACTTACACCTGTGCAAATCTATTGAAAGGAATAAGGCTGCATACATGTAATAATTTGGCTTGTAGAAACTAAAGTTGGTGATATGTGAGCTGGATAGAACTCTACCTGCCTCAGAGTCCAGACTAGGATGTAAAAGAGTAGTCGATTAGTTGACTACCCAATAAGCCTAGGCTACTCATATTCTTCTCCCCCCTCTCCCCCTGCTGCCTCTATATCTTAAAAGCCAGTTCCCCACAGCACCGTTCCTACGGTGCCATTTGCAGCAGCATGCGGGAGGGGGAGGGAACAGAGGGAACAGAGTGGTGGGGTCAGGGGAGGCTGCTCTGGCAGTAGCCCCTGTCCACGGGGGGGTCCCAATGCCCCACTGGGACCCCCACGGACAGGGGTTGTTGCCAGCTGGGCAGGCAGCCTGGCTCAGTCCTGGCTTGTGCTGGGTCCAAACCTCGCTGTGGCTCTGCAATTTAAAAGGCAGTAGGAGTTGGGTAGCCTGCACCCCGACTCCTACTGCATTATAGATTGCAGAGCTGCAGCGGGGTTTGGTCCTGGAATGACATGAGCAGGGACTGAGCCGGGGAGTTGGGTGAGCAGGGAGCCTGCCTCAGTCCCTGCTTGCGCTGACTCCAGTACCAAACCCCACTGCAGTTCTGCAATTTAAAACGTAATAGGAGCCAGGGGGCAGGCTGCCTGGCTCCTACTGCCTTTTAAATTGCAGAGCCATAGTGGGGTTTGGTCCTGGGGCAAGCCGGGACTGGGCCAGCTGCCTATCAACTAATCAAGTAGTTGATAGAATTTTTATTGACTACTCAATTAGTAAAATAACCTTTTTTAACATCACTAGAGCAGACTGAGTTTACAGGATCAGCCATTTAAAAAAACAACTGAGCAATTTTAGATATTTTCAGTGATTCCATATCAGTATTTTCTATGTGGCTTCCAATCACCATAATATCTGAGCTTGAACATTAATGAGTTTATCTTCATAATATTCTCCTGAAGTAGAGGAGTAATATTCCCATTTTGTAGATAGGGAATTGAGATGCAGAGACTCGCTTAAAATCTCTCAGTCTATGTCAGAGTTAAACTAGGATTTCTTGTGTCCCAGTTTAGTTTCTGAACAACAAGACACTGAAATCCTGTAATGCCATTTTTACAGTCATTTTCCAGTGTAAAACCACATTTTAGGAACAATATAATATTGGAAGAAACTATTAAAATCTCTGCCATGAGGCAGAAATTATGGAATTTTTTAGCAGTCAGACACTTGCTATTTGGAGTGCAAATCTATTCAGGGCCCCCAGAATTGGTTCAAAATCAGAGTACTGGGGAAAAATCGGAGGCATGAAAGTGTATATCTTGCTTTTTTTTTTTTTTTTTGCAGAATCTGACCATTAATTAAAGATGTATCTGACTTTAAGACAGTGAGACATGATATGCATTAGTCTTCATTATTCAGTGTCCCCAAATACAGAAAGAAATCTGAAAACAAACATATTTTAATACAACAAAATGACTCTTTAAAAAAAAAAAAGGAAGCACAAGTGTAAAAAAGGGGGGAAATCCAGCTGATCTTCCTGAGCAAAAGTCTGAGAGGAGCAATGTCACTACTCTATTTATTAACAGTATTAGTTATGATAGTGCCTAGAGGCCCCAGTAATGCATCAGACCCCTTTTATGCTAGGCACTATACAAACAGATAACAGGGAGATAGTCTCTAGTCCACAAAGTTTACAAAGTGTAAGATAAGAGAATGCAACAGAAAGAGAGGAGAGAGTGCAATGAATCAATACTACTCAACATGATAGGCAGCACCCCAGCTGCCTAACTGTAGGTATCACGGCAGAGAAATGTTTCTAAGAGAGATTTGAAGATGGGCATGGAAATGCACATGGCAGGTTGTTAGTCCGATCTTGTTACTTACTTAGATTGCCTTATTTATTCATTCATTCATTTATTTATTTATTGCAGTTACAAGAAACCCTGCAACAGAAAACATTTGCAGCTTCCACTGGGATCAAACATACAGTGAATCCAGTCTATCCAAGTTCAAACACTTTAGTGGAAATGACTCTTGGGTAAGAATTAGGTGGATAATTGTAATCCTTTCACATGCTTTTTCACTCCTCTATGGAGGAATTAGAGAAAATGTGTGTTTATATTGTTAACTGAACTTGACTATTCATTTTTAAAACAGTTAAGTGGCTACTGCATTTTTAAAACAGTTAAGGTGGGGCATTTTCTGTCTGTTACAAAAAACAAACTGATATTTCTGAATGCTAATGTATTTATGGACATGGAGGAAATCATACCATTCTTTGTTTCCATTTATCACTTTTGTCAGATTTTGCCAATCTAATATGCTCTTCTTTTATTTTGCACATGATTGCAATTACTGGAAACTTTATTGTGATGAGTCACTATTGCTTGGGTATCTTCAGAATATTTTTTCTTCCATTTTTTTAATGAGAGATACTGCTTCTTTTATAACATTTTGACACATTTATTTCATAATGAATGTAATATTAAAACTGGCATGCAATGCATAAAAGTGTTTATAATCACTAACAACCTCTTTCTTGCTTTTTGTTATGTAGCATGAAGAAACTGAAGGAGGAAATGGAAGGTGTTGTTAAAGAACTAGCTGAGAATAACCACATTTTAGAAAGGCAAATAGTAATTTTTACTTTTTGGTGGGGAGGTATTATAATTTGGTATGGAAGTTAATGGAGTCAGTGAACAAGGAAATGGAAAATGTTATCTCTTGGACAGCTGCAGTATAGATACCTGTTTCCAAATTGCTGCTCTGAGACATGCTTCAAGATGATTTAGCCACAGTTGTGTTTATTTTAAAACTATGCTATTTGTTAATGTTTCTGTGGAAGTCGATTTGTGTTGCAAGTAAAAGCAGCAAAAGAGCTGAAATGACCCAAGACCACCTAATGGAAATAACTGCTATGAGTGATAAATGATGGATTTACATTAGGGATGGGCAATAATTTTTAAAGGGGTGCCACTTTTTTAAGTGGTGGTGGGTTGCCCCAGAAAGCCTTTAAATAGCAGGAATTGAAAGGGCTCATGCCTCCCCTGCAGCTCCCAGACATCACATTAGCAGGGGTGATGGAGTGGCTGGAGCAAACGAGCCCTTTCAGCTCCTGCTAATTAAAGGGCTCATTACTTCGGCCTCGCTGCTAGCATGTTGCCTGGGAGCCAGAGACAAGCAAGTCCTTTCAACTGCTTGTATTTAAAGGGCTCAGCCGTGGGGAAGGCGTGAGCCCTTTAAATAGAAGCATTTGAAAGGGCTCACACGACCTGGTTCCCAGGCAACATGCTAGAGGCACAGGAGCTGCGAGCCCTTTAAATAGAAACAGTTGAAAGGACTCGCAGCTCCTGTACCTCTAGCAGGGAGCAGGGGACAGGCAAGCCCTTTTTCAACTGCTTCTATTTATGGCAGCTGTGGGGAAGGCACAAGCCCTTTAAATAGAAGCAGTTGAAAGGGCTTGCGCATCCTGGCTTCCAGGCAACACATTAGGGGGCAAGACCAGGAACTGCTGTGTAGGCTGGATAAAAGAGCTACGGAGGCCAAATTGGGCCTGCTGACAGGCTCTTGCCCACCCCTGATTTACACAGTATTTCTTGCAGTGATCCACAAGCTGTCATCTAAACTTTTAAAATTTTCAGATATCACTTTTCTAAGTTTAATAATTATGCAAGGATACCAATCTGTATTAGTCCTTTTGCAGTTTTAGCATTAGTTGTAATGAAATAAGACTGTTAGTCTGATATTGTTTAGGGATGTTAAATTGTGGATAATCAGCTAATTGAGTAGTCGATTGAATTTCCATTGACTACTCGATTATTTGATTGTAGGGGTGCTTGCTACCTCTACTGTGGCTCCGCAGTTTAAATGTACTACATTTAAACAGCAGAGCTGCAGTGGAGTTAGCTCCCAGGGGTAGCATGATCTGGGACTAAACAGATGGTGCTAGGGGGGAATGCCTTTTAAGCTGGCTTTCCCCAGCACCGGCTCCTGCTTCCCCCTCTTGCTGCCTCTGATATAGAGGCAGCAAAGTTGGGCGGGAATGCAAGTAGTTAACTTGACTACCCATTAAGCCTAGGCTTATTGGGTAGTTGACTATTCAACTACTCTTTTACATCCCTAATCTTGTTACTTAATTTATTTTTTTTATTGCAGTTACAAGAAACTTAGTCATACTTTTTATAATCATGCTAAAACAATATTTTCTTTAATGGCACTGAAAATGATTTTGTTCTGTCTATACTAGCAGTCAAATCATTTTCATTCAGTGGTTCAGAGAGATCCACTGCAGATGGCAGATTGTTAGTAATGGGTCCCCTTCTTATTGTATTTCTACAGAAGTGTTATGATCTGCCTAAGGCCACCTAATGAACTAGTGAGTCAGTGATAGTGCTGGGCTAAGAATTCACACTTGTTTATGGTTCTCAGTCCTGTCCTTAAATCATGCAGTGTCCTGTTGAGTATACATTGTTCACGTGTCTCCAGTAGTGCCATTAAAAAAAAAATGTTCTTTTGGGGCATGGCAGGAGGAGGAAAGAACATAATGAAGTTATAGTTAAATGAACTCAGAATATACAATATTTTAATTTTATTCTAGAGCAGGGGTTAATTTATTGTGTATTAAAATCCATTTTAATCAACTAACAATAAAATGTTTCCTTGACTTTAGATTTGGTGCTCTGACTGTGGATGGTGGCCTACGGAATGTAGACTGTATCTAGTCAACAAAGGAGCCTGAAAGGACTGTTTGTGTTTCACAGAAAAAAATGCTGCAAGGGGCATTTAAATGCAGAAATGTTATTCTATACCCATTTTTTCTGCAACTCTAGTATTTAACAAAAGTATGTAAATATGTATATACTGTAAATATAACAGTTATACCAGTCTCTTTTGTTAATGTTAAAATAGAATTATTCTTAAGTTTTCTAAGTTGATTATACATTTTATCCCTTTAAGGAACTCTGGCAAAGGAGTATGGCAAGCATATTGCTAAATTGACATTCATTTCCCTCGAATGTCAGTTTTTAGGTCATGATTTACTTTTGTTTCTTGAAAGTGAACTTGTATCTTAAACTAGCCTGCATTCAGAAAAGTTATGAAGTGTTTAAAGCAGTGTTCCCCAAACTCATCAACGTGTGGAGGAATGTTTGGGAAGGTGCACATCAGGGCCCAGGTCAGTTCCCCAGGGGTATGAGGTAGGGGCACCACTCAGCTATGCAGTAATTTAGAGGCGGGGGGGGGGAGGGGAGGGAAACAGACAGATTCCATTACTGGTTATGGGGAGAGAGTCAGGACAGGAAAAGTCTGAGCACCACTGCTTTAAAGGGCATTTGGGCTCTCACCAGAGTATTATTTCAAACCTAGTTAGTAATGCATCATCCACTACAGTACTTGAATGAAGAACATTTTATCTTGTGTCTTCTTCTGTAATTCAATGTGAACAGCATGAACTAAGGACAGAAAGAGGAGATGCGTTTCTTCCCCTTTGTCTACCAAATTAATAGTTAACCGTGTGAATTTATTTTCTCACACACAAGTGTTTAGTCTTGTTCATGTTGAACACCATGTTCTCTACAATAATCATATGGCTACGTATATACATTCAGCTCACATGTGTGTAAGAGTTCAGACTTCCAGTGTATTAAATCATAGATCTAAGTTCAACATTTTAAATAAAGGAAAATCTGAATCCTTTATTCAGTAAATCAGTAAAGCCTGCTGTCCTCAGAACAGATCTTGAAATTTCCTTCTTACCATGACCTAAATGCAAGCTTTTACTAAAACACCATTTATCAGCCTTCCACTTATAAATAGAAATATTTTAAAAACAGATGAGCAAACATGACTCTTAGTATTATGGGAATTTAGTGTTGGAGATCATAAACCACTTTCTGTCTTGCTTCAATTCTAGTTTAACATCAGCAAAGTAACTATTTTTAAAAAAAGGAAATTGTTAGAAAGTAACCAGAATCAAAAAAGTACAGTGTCACAGCTTGTGACTAATAAAATGTTAAGCTTGGGAGGGAAAGTATAGTAATACTTTTTTTATGTCTATGGCACCCCACAATGAAGGCTTCTGGCATCTAACAAAAATTATTTGAAACCAAAAATAGCTACTAAATAGAAAAGCTAACACATTCAAAATCCAAATAACTGAACCCAGCCCAACCCTGAATACAAAGTTAATACTACACCTTGCTCTTCCAACACTGCACAACTCAGACCAAAATATGGAGAACAAAACTGTCTGCTCTAAAACCTATGCAATGAAAAAGGAAGTAAATATCCCTTGTCTTGCCACCTATATAGTCTGCTGTATATTGTTGAGGAAGAGGATTCAAGAATCTTGGACCTTCTGGAACTAAGGCCCCATCCTTTCCCTTTTGATACAATCCATGGATGGTTCAACATCTCCATCTTTGCCATTCCTATTTGCAATAAGTCATGCAGGGTTAATGTAGTCCCTCAGATAGATTATTCTATATTATTTTGGACTTTCTATAACAACAGTAAACCATGAAGCATGTAACCAAATAAAAAGTAGCCAGTACCAGGTACATCTGTGTAATACTCAGTTTTGTTATTTTTATTACTCTCTTTCTGCTACCTGTACCAACACAGTATAGGAATAAAAATGTCAAAACATTAAAATGTATTTATACTTCAAATAGAAGTTAAGAAGTTGATGTTTTTGGATGCTTCAATATTTAGGCAGGACATACATGGCTTTAATCTCTAATATTGGGTCCTTGCCTATCCTGGCCTCTACTTTTTGGTAAGAACTCAGTGTCAAAAGACAGTTCAAATCAGAATATTAATTAAACTTTTCAAATATCATTTGCTTCTGTGAATGATATTGTAATTCTGTTGCCCAAAAAAGGAGGGGGAAAAAATCAGTCTATTTTTTCTGGGTTAGCCATGTAATTTAAAAGTGTTTACTTTGAAGTGTTTAAATTATGGGCGTATTTTAGAGCCTGGTTGTACAAGCACACACATGAATGACGACTCCATGTCAGTAATCCTGCAGAATGTCACTAAATTTTATGTGGATAGACAGTTGAAGGATCAGGTCCATAAATTGTACATAAATGTATATTAGATTCACTGAGATTATTTCTATACCAATGTTATTTTGTTGGTTATTTTAAGGAATTTTAACTTTGCAATGGGAAGTTAGTTGTAAACACAGAATTTGCATACCATAACATACAGTTGTTTACTACTTTCACAAGGATGAAAATGTTTGTTTTTTTTCTATCGTGTTGCTTCGTAACACATTACGTAACACTGCTGGTTTTAGTCTGTAAGTCCACCACTATAAAGTGTATAGGTTTGTAAAAATTGCTTTGAAAAAGTAATTTGTTACAAACTGTGTAATGACTTGAAGTAATCAATTAAACATATTACTGATTACTTTCTTATGAAACATCTATTATTGACTTTAGTCCTTGGTATGTGGTGTGTAGTGTAGTCCTTGATATGGAAAGTAATAGGTTTGCCAAGAAAGACAATTAATGGTGTTTTTGAGGGAGAGGGTTCCCCTCCGAAACTGGATTACTACTTTTGGGTAATAGTGTTATGTATTACTTTGATCAGTTACTTTAGCAAGCCTGTCTACATCTTAACTGTGAAATTGCATGAGTGAATGACTTATTTACATAAATACAAACTCAATTACTTATTCTAAGATGTGTTTTTAATTTCCAGGCTTTTCCTTACTATATATTAAAGAACATTTTTCCTGTGGGACGATAGAAGTAACGTCATGCGTCACTCTATATCCTGCAGGAAAAGTTTTCGTCCTGCCCACCCTTCCACCGTCAGCCACCTTCCCACTCCCACCTCCCAGCTGGGACCTGTCCAGTGTGAGTGGCTCCGGGCCAGCAAGCAGCTGTCCTGGGGTCAGGCCAAGGTGGCACACTGTAGCATCAAGGCAGCACAGGGCCCGCCTCTCTCCCACTTGCTTCTGCCAGAGGCAGCTCGCAACCTGAACATCTGCTTCTAGGTGTGCCCACCATGGAGCCTCAGGGTTTCCTCCTCCCCTCCCCCACAAGAAGCCACTGTTGGTGCACTACTCTTGAAGGCAGGGACAGGGTTTGAGGCTGGAGCACTGGCAGGGGGTGGGCCAAGCGCTCCTGGCCTGAGCAGCTGGAGGCGGTGGCTCCTCACTGGGTCCTGGAGCATCAGGGCTGCAAGCACAGCAAGGAGCCACTGCCACTGCCCCCACTCAGCCCCAGCCCTCCTCTAGCAACCAGCTGCTCCATGCACCGGAGTCCTGAAAAACTGCTTGGGGGGGGGGGGCAGGGAGCGTAAGCCCCGAGTCTTGTTGCACAGGAAAGAAGTGCTCCTCCTCCAGGGCTGGGGTAACAGCAGCGTGTGAGCACGCTGTCTGGAGACTTTCCCTGTGCTCTCCCTGGCCAGATTCTGCCTAATGGGAGCAGCAGGAGGTTCAAAGAAAGTATGTGCCCCTTATGCCCAGACCTGCACTCCCAGCCTCTCTGAGCCACTGCACAGCAGCTGGCTGAAGTTCTGGCAGCTGCCAAGTGGACGGCAGATGCTATTTTAAAAACAGCTGATGGGGCACCAGCAGTGGGACTAGGGTTGCCAGATACTTTCACAAAAAATCCTGAACATGACAGAGAAAAAAACGGGGACCAAACTTGTTGAGGAAAAAAAGGGGGGAGGGACCAAACTTGTTGAGCAAAAAAGGGGGGGGGACGAAGATGTTGAACAAAATAAAAAAGTCACTGCACCTTTAAATCCCTGCACTCCCATCTCCTCCCGTCCCCAGTGCCAGACACGGCAGTGGGAAAATATCCCCGACGGCCTTCCGTCCCTGAAAAACAGAAAATAACGGACATTTTATATGTCCTATATTTTCTGTTGTTGCTTTTTTTTTTTTACCAGACAGGGGCCACGGATACTGTACTGTCCGGGTGAAAACTGGACACCTGGCAACCCTAAGTGGGAGCGTGGCAGGATCCGCATGGAGGGAGGGTGTCGAGACTGGGGTGCACCCCGGCCTCCTAAGCTGCCGCTCAGTGGTTGGCTGAATCTCGCCCCTGCCAGTGTTTAAAAAACAGCTGCTCTGGGGCACCGGCGGTGGGACCCACATGGTGGGAGGTGGAAAGAAGAATGGACCGGGCTGATGGAGGTGGGGAGGGAGAATGGACCTGGGCTGGCAGGAGTGGAAGAGGAGGAGCCCTGTCTGGAGGGAGGGGGAGAAGAAGAAGGGCCCAAGAGAAGTTTTCTTTTGAAATAACCGCATCTACACAGGTTTCTTTTTTCGAAATAGGGTATTTCGAAATGGCTCCTGGACACGATTATGCAAATAAAGCACAGGAAATTCAAATCCGTGCTTCATCTGCAATTTTGTTCATTTGTATTTGCATTCCCCTCTCAAAAGAGGAATGCAGTGTAGACATACCCATAGAGAAAAGAGAGTCTCTATCCCATTGACTACGTGCCAGTAGCAACTACCTTTTATAGCACTGTATTGCCTAGATTTGTTCTGAGCACTATGGGTTAGGGATGTTAAACTGCAGATAATCAGCTAATCGAGTAGTCAATGGAATTTCCATCAACTACTTGATCAGTTGATAAGGGAGGGCTCTTGCTACCCTGCTGCAGCTCTGCCTTTTAAATGTAGTAAGAGCCAAGCAGCATTAACTACATTTTAAAGGCCGAGGTGCAGTGAAGGACTCGGCGTGAGCTGGAACTGCTTCAGACCGGTCTGGACCCGGCGGAAGCAGTTCCAGCTCATGCCAAGTCCCACTCTGCATCTGCCTCTCCTGCCCCACACCCCGGAGATGCTTCTGGAGGAAATTGGCTTTTAAGCCGGCTCCCACCAGCTCCTGCTCCCCCCCCCCCTTCCCCTTGCTAACTTTGATATAGAGGCAACGGAGGGGGGAGAAGCAAGTCCACTACTCTTTTACATCCCTAATGTGGGTGTGCACATATAATGTCCTGTAAGCACCTGTCATACCTGATATTTTTTCTGTACAGGAACTCCCACTGATAGAGCTGAATCAATGCTAATACAATAGCAGAAGTTTTAAGAAAAAGGTCAGTGTGTAGACACAGTAAGACTTCATAAACTATCTAAAGGGTATAATGCGATGGCATGGATTACAAAAGGCAGCAGGAGACACTTCAATCATAAACATTTTAAAAAGTTGAACAAGCCTTGAAAGAGAGCAAAGGTGAACGCAAACAAGCTAGACAAACCGGTTTGGGTAAAATCAGAGCCAGTCACTAGTCAATTCTGAAACAGCTCACTCTTTCATTTAAGTTTGGCTGCTAAGTATTACAACACACAACTTTCATGCATCTTTCCGACCTGTCACTTTCTGATTTTTGTTTTTGGTGGGTGTATTAACCAAAATACAGTAAAAGCTCTTTTATCTGGCAGTTAGGGGATGCAGGGGTGCTGCTTAATTAAACATTCTGGTTAACAGACTTATACTTTACCAATGGAATACCAATTTTCAAAGAATTAGAATACAATAAAATATAAAATACTATACAGGTACTCACTAATCTAGTAGTACTGCACTACAGAGTTGTTGGTTTCTTGAAACACTTAGGTGTATACAGGTAAAGTTTTCTATACAGTAGGTTATCTTATGACACTACATATCACTACAGGCATACATGCTAAAACTACACTGAACATCATTTAATCTTTCTTTGATGATTAAGAAGGTATTTCAAGATCTTGCAGTGCCTTGGGATCATCATCATCAACATCAATTATCCCTTGTAGACATAGAAGGAATCTATAATGACCCTCTGATATCCTGGAAGCTGCTTTTTTTAATACATCTCTGATATCAGCTTGCTTGCTTGTCTTCCGCTTCTTTTTCATAAAATCGAATGTGCAATTGCATAATGTGCTGGGCAGTATTCTAGTCCTGGTTACTAGACTGGGTCTCAATTGGGTGTTCTTTCAGTTCAGGGCAGGGGAAAGCCATTTACAAAGTTCCAAAAAAGTGGCCTTGTGCATTCGGAAGTTTTGCAGTCACTGCTAATCATCCCATCTAACCAAGAGAGGAAAGAGCATCTTCACGAGCAGGCTTGCAAACCTAGTGAGGAGGGTTTTCAACTAGGTTTGTTGGGGGACGGTGACCAAAGCTCTGAGGTAAGTGAGGAAGTCGGACACCAGGAAGAATCACAAGGAGGAACGAGCAACAAAGGAGGACCCCTGATTCGGATGGAGAAGGCAGGGCGATCAACTGGATATCTAAGGTGTTTGTACACCAATGTGAGAAGCTTGGGAAATAAACAGGAAGAATTAGAAGCCCTGGCCCAGTCGAAGAACTGTGATTCGATTGGAATAACAGAGACTTGGTTGGATGACTCGCATGACTGGAGCATTGTCATGGAAGGGTATAAACTGTTCAGGAAGAACAGGGAGGGGAGAAAAGGAAGATGAATTGCATTCTATGTAAGATAGCAGTATGATTGCTCGGAGCTTCAAGACTTAGAGGGAGAAAAGACTATGGGTTACATTTAGAGGTGGAAGCAACAGGGGTGATACTGTGGTTGGTGTCTGCTATAGACTGCTGGATTAGGTGGATGAGGTAGACAAAGCTTTTTTTGGACAACTGAGAGAAGCTTCCAGATCACAGGCTCTGGTTCTTTAATCACCCTGACATCTGTTGGGAGACCAATAAAGCAGTACACAGACAATCCAGGAAGTTTTTTGGAGAATGTTGGGAATAATTTCTTGGTACAAGTGCTGAAGGAATCAACCAGGGGCCATGCGCATCTTGACCTGTAGCTCACAAACAGGGAGGAACTAGTAAGGGAAGTAGAGGTGGGTGACAACCTGGGAAGTCTTTGGAGAATGTTGAGGATAACTTCTTGGTACAAATGCTGAAGGAACCGACCAGAGGCAATGCGCAGCTTGACCTGCTGCTCACAAACAGGGAGGAACTAATAGGGGAAGTAGAGGTGGGTGACAACCTGGGAAGCAGTGATCATGAGATGGTAGATTTCAGGATCCTGACCAAAGGAAGAAAGGAGAGTAGCAAAATACACACCCTGGACTTCAGAGAGCGGACTTTGACTCTCTCAGAGAACTGATGGGCAGGATTCCCTGGGATTCTTACATGAAGGGGAAAGGAGTCCAGGAGAGCTGGCAGTATTTTAAAGAAGACTTATTAAAGGCACAGGAAGAAACCATCCTGATGTGCAGCAAGACAAGCAAATATGGTAGGCAACCAGATTGGCTTACCGGGGACATCCATGGTGGACTTAAACACAAAAAGGAAGCTTACAAGAAGTGAAAACTTGGACAGATGACTAGGGAGGAGTATAAATATATTGCTCGAGAATGCAGGGGAGTTATCAGGAAGGTGAAAGTACAATTGGAATTGCAGCTGGCAAGGGATGTGAAGGGCAACAAGAAAGGTTTCTACAGGCATGTTAACAATAAGAGGGTGATCAGAAAGGATGTAGGGCCCTTATTGGATGAGGGAGGTAACCTAGTGACAGATGATGTGGGAAAAGCTGAAGTGCTCCATGCTTTCTTTGCCTCTGTCTTCAGAGAAGGGGTCAGCTCCCAGACAAATGCACTAGGCAATGCAGTATGGGAAGGAGGTGGACAGCCCTTGGTGGGGAAAAACAAGTTAGTAACTATTTAGAAAAGCTAAACATACACAAATCCATGGGCCTGGATTTAAGGCATCTGAGGGT